GTAGAACCTGTTTTTGTAGAATAAATCTGCTATAGAAATTTCAAAAAGACATCACTGAGGCTCTGATCAGCGCTACATCCATCTTCCAGTCATAATTTCTTATTTAAGTGCTGACCAATCCGATGCCTGAATGTGTCAAAGATATGTAACTTCATTTCTGCATGAATTAATGCAGAATTCCAATGCATGTAACATCACGGAGTGCAAAGTCCTGTTCAGCAACAAAAACATGAGAAACCTCCTTCAAACACACATGTTCATTCTGAGGACGTCTATCACTTGTATGAGCACAGCATGAGAGGCTGGGATGCGTTATGCAACGCGTCTGATTTTTCCTCATGCATGCAAGATACCAGAACAGGACTGAGGGGCCGTTTGTCGCTCACGCTTCAGTAGATACATGATGTGTGGAATCAACACATGCTCATGCTTGCCCATGCAAAACATCCATTAGTATAATGAAGGCATAAAAAGGAGGCCTTTCAGGTCTCATCACACTGGGGAATAAATCACATCTGCCACAGAGAGACACATTTCCCATCCCTGCATCATCTTTTCCCTACATCCCACCAAAACACACAGATAAGGTTTACAAAAGTCCAACTCAGGGCAGGGATGATCCAGTAGGACCAGATGAAGAAGAACTGGCTACACAACATTTTCCACATACAGAAATATTTTTAGTTTAGTATTAGAAACTGAATCAGAAACAGATCATTTCAAAACTAGCTCCACATCCCCATCATGTGGTCATAGTGAGGCAGTGCAGGCCATCACTGAACAGGCAGACAGCAGCTTTTTCCTACAGAATAGCTGCAGTTTCACTTTATAATGTCATTCCAGCCGATGTTCTTATGTTCTGCACAGATCTCGTCAAGAGCATTTTCCTGATATATTTTTGTGATGCCATATTTCCGGTGAATACTGGAAGTCTCACCTGAAGGTTAAAGAAAACCTTCATTTTTCCTCTTACTTCTAAATCTGTTTTGATGCAAATGACCACCTGGTCAGAAAAAAACAGCATTCTTAACATACACTTTGCTGATGCCAAACTCATGCTTATAACATTAGCCTGATGATGGCATGTATAGTCAGGGTTGCCCCAGTTGCTCTTCACCTGTAAGGTTATGTGGCGGAAGGAACCAGTTAGATAATCAGGGAATTTGAAGATCTCTAGTTGGTCTCCATACTCATCATAGAGAAAAGTTCTCAAAAGACTCTCCTGACTTTCTAGATCCTTCTTTCCATAGACGGAAAACTCTTTTGGAGCAGAGGAGATTGTGCCATAAATGGATGTCCGTTTCAGAATGTGACTCAGGGAAACATGGCTTCCCTTCTCATAAAGTCCATTAACTACTGGACTTTATGAGTTTATTTTCACACAGTTAAAGTCATAGGGAAATCATATTTAAATGTCAAATCATTCTGGCTTAAACATGTATATAAATGTACTCTTTATCGGACGATACTGTCCCAAAATTTAGAAAATCTCTAGTTTGAAAAAAATCAGTCTTAAAATCAGTTTTTTTTTCTCATTATCTTATGCAGGCCAGTTAGTTATACGTCAGCCTGTACACCTAAATTCGGCCAATCATATATCAACGGTCATCTGTCAATCAAATTTTTTCGGTTATAGCATCTTGATTCATATGTCGCAGCTAATATACGCAACGGTTGAAATAACAAAAGGAATCATTATTTACTTTACCACTGAGTCATGTCCCAGTGTTCACGGGGATGGACGTCTGTGTCTTCAGCAGGCATAGAGCTAACAGAACTGACAGCGTTGCGAGGCAAGGGCTCAAACATGTACGGCTGTAAGCCTTCTACACCCAACCAAGCTTCTGCCGCCCTGGCGTCCTCTTCCCTAACCACTGATTGCACCATTCATGTGTAAATAACCTTTATGCTGATGCACATTCCTAAAATGATTTAAAAAAGGATTCAATTAGAAATGTAAATTCTGACTCTGGTTCAAGAGTGATTTGATACATGTATGGTACATATGGGTAGATTTTTGAGCCAGGTTTAGCCTCTAAAAACTTGTTTTAAAGGCACACTATGCAACATTTTTCAGTTAATTAATGTGTTCCATAACGTTTTGGATGATTAAATGATTCATTTCAGGTTGAACAACGGTATTCTCGGCCGCCCTGGTGGTCTGTGGGGGAAATACCGCACTTGCAATTGCAGGAGCACCGACCCGCACCCACAGGCTCAGAAGTCTTGCGAGAGTCAGTCTTGCTTTACGGCGAGAACTGCTACATGCCCCCAGTTAAAAGCATGCTCGTTGCTAGCGCAGTGGCGATCTTTGTGCAGTGCTGC